TAAATTCTTTAAAAAATTGTAATTAAAGTTCGAACAATAATTTATACTTCTTGAAGAAGGACTATTTCAGTTTTATTGTTGATTTTTGAATGTACTAGTCGTATTGTGCACTATACCATACTTTAGAAAAAATATTTAATTAGTTAGCAGCAGTTGTGTTAAATTTTAATTAAATTAATATTAAACCTTTAAAAATATCTACTCCATGGTTGAATTTATTATTACTATAAATTTAGAAAAAAAATATTATTTATAATTGTTATTTTTCAATTACTGAAGTAGCGAATAGTAAGTATTGAATAGGGAAATATGAAAATCTATATTACAACTGATAGATTTTGTAATCGAATTTATAAATAATTGAGTCGTAATATATAAGATTAGTTGTAATATTTTTTTAAAAATATTTGTAATTTACTGAAAGGCAAACGCGATTTGAAGAAAAAATTTATTCGCGTTATTATTCCTTATAATCGTACGAAGCTATGCAACAGAATACATGAAATATTCTAAAGCCATATGAATTAATTTACATTAACAGAAAAAATCAATGATATTTTTTAGGAATTTTTTTAGGAAATTTTGCCAACAGCATACGCCAATAATTCAAGAATCTGTGATACATGAATACATGATGGTAGTACGCAGAAGCAATGAAGGAGCACCGCAACATTCGAATAAAAGTGTGCCTCCTCTGCGGCCTTGAGAAAGGAGCGCAATTCGCGTGTGCGTCGCTTGTACATGCAAGAGTGACACAATACTCATCGTGGCCACGGTGACACTTGTATACAACGTCTGTTTGAAAAGAAATATCATGCTAGCTAATATTTTTACGAAGAATTCGAAAGTTTTTCAAGAAAGAATACTAATTATCGGAGGGGGAGAGAAGGAAGGGGATAGGTATATACATAGATAGATAGAGTAGGGGGGGGGGAGGTAAGAAGGAATAAGGGAGGATGACCATTGTAAGAGTGTAATTGACATTGTGGGTATAGTTGGATGTGGAAAGACATTACTTTGATAAGCTGAAAAGATGAAAAAAATTCATAAAAACACGATTAAAGTAATATAGAACGTGATATAAAGAATATTTTCAATCTACGTGTAAGAATAATTTATTTAATAAAGCAAAAAGTTTTTCAAAAACCATATGCTTATAACTTTTAATTTTTAATAGTCTATATAATTTATTTTTCTTGCTGCAATTTCTCTTAAAATTAGACATATCTGTATTGAATCATAAAAACATAGATAAATCGATGAAATCTAACTGCATAATTTGATTTTACATCTCATGTACATCTAGTATTTTCTTTTTCTACAATTGTTATTAGACAATTGGTGTGAAATAGATTATTTATACAATTCCGAGCTACTAATGGTTATTATACGAAGTATTAATAATAACGTAAAATGTAAAGAATATTAGAATAAAAAAAGATTATAAAAATGTTTAAACAACAATTAAAAAAAGCCCAACGCCTTGACAATAAAAATTACATTTTTTTTTAATAATTGTAAAATTTCTATTAATTCTTCTAAAATGGATTTATTTTTTCTGAAACACTAAGAAATATTATCGTTATTAACTCGTTAACTTCGCTACACTCCATACTCTATCTATCCATACTCTAAAGCTTCTAGTTTTGAGCAGAAGAAAAAGCGAGACAGAGACCCACCAAGCTCATTAAAGTCTCATCCATACTTTGGTATAGACATTGTGAAAATATCCTGAAAATCCAGGGGATATATAATCATTCTCTGTCATAGCGTATTAGGAGTGCCTGAAGTTATGAAAATATAATTCTTCAGCTAGACTAGGGATTGGCGAGTCTAGAGATTTGTGCGAGTCGTCTATACTGAAACATAAGCGGATGCACGGATCAGAAACTATTTGCATCGAGCTCTGATCAAGATGTTGGTATTTTTAAATTTGTGCTATTTTTGGTAGCTATGGTTTGTTTTAAAGACAAAAGAAGAAAATGAATGTTGAGTTAAGGTGGCGTATGCTTTTGTCCTATTGTAGATTCATTAAAGCGATTTGTTTTGCCGCATACATTGTGACACATTTTATTTCGAGATAAGCAATTGTAATATGCAAAATAACAGGACAAAGTATTTTCGTATGTAACTAGTAAATTAATTATTTTTTGAAGAAAAATAAACTTTTATTAGCGATAAAACAAATGTACCGATGTGCTCATTGTTTTGAAATACAGATCGTTTTACGGGCTATAATATTTCTGTCAAATAAAGAATAGTTGTACATAATTAAATAGCGTTAAAAATAGTAGATTAAACTCTAAATCTTGTAGGTATAATATAAATAGGAGGGGGATGGGGGGGGGGGGGGAATTAATAAATAAAAAAATGAATTTCCACCACGTGGGCAGAAAAAGAATGGAACCATTCTAAAGTATTTTGAAAAATTAGCTCTAAGTTAATCTTGTATATAATTCTTGCGATTAGTTAATCACTATAACTTCAATTGTACTTATTATATTTTTAATAATAGACAAAGTTATGATTATATAGTTATACTCGAATTCAGATGCAATGCCATATAATAGAAGAATTCAAATGGAATTTCCACAATAAGTAATACAATAATTACGATAAGCAAAAGAACTTTTAATTGATTTTATTTGAAATGTCAACTTCATTTGAAATAATCATTCCTTAACCAAAAAATGTACATCTTTCAAATGTTTAACCTACTTACGCATCTATTAAATTATCGACGAATATAACACAATCGAGGGTGTTCGCGTTGGTACCTCACAACCACGCGTTACTTAGCCTTATGCGATTACGCAATACTTGTTTTGTCTGGCGTGGGTGTGATCGAAATTACCGATATAGGCATGCGCATACGATTGTGAATGCGTATGTGTTACGTGTTTTTGTGAGTACATACGCATACACGCGAAGAGAGTCGCGACAACGTCCGTAACGGGCTTTTGACCTTCGAGAACACGGATTCCAGTACACCGGATATTAGAAACCACTAATGCTATCTTTGCTCGGTTTTTATTTTTGTGCCATTTCATGGAGAATAAGAAATCATTGATAATGATCATAATCATACAGATGTTGAGTGGACAAATCATCTTTTTCAAATCCGACGATTATTAGAAGATCTGATTTGCGTTAGAAAAACAAAATACCGATATGGGAAAGTATAGGTTTTCCATTCCTTTTCTACTGATTTTTAATATGTATTGAAGATATTTTTATAATTGCTTTTATGACAAATTCTTGTACAATGTTTATTCACAGGGTAAAATAAAGTTTTCGAACGACGAGAGAAAATTTTGTTAACGAAGGTTATCATATATGTTACTTGTTAATTTTTCACTTTTACATTGATTCATTTGATTGTCAATGGTTAATCATTTAGATAAATACTATTTCTTATAAGAATTCAATTGCCTTGAAATGAATTTTCAAAATTTAAATCATATTAATTAGTCATTTTTAATTTTTAATTTTATATAATAATAAATTTGTATATCTCCCAGAATATATTAATGACATAAAAACGAATAAAAATTAAATATCAAAATGAATTAGTTCATGCACATGTAAAGTTATACATATAAACTGCATTAAAACTTAATTTTAATATTTCATTCCTTCAAGAATGTTGAAAATCATAAGAATATTAAAAATCAAATAGAATTATTTAAATAGATACGTGAAAATTAAAGTAAAAGTAAATATCAAACGGAATGTCTATATTACGAGTAATATAATCTATTGTAACAATTATTATTTGACATAATTTTATCTCATATAATAAATAGGATAATAATTAAATATAATTTAATCTATTTTCATTTGTGTTTTTATTTAAAATTTAATATATGTTTCAGTAAATGTAATTTGATTATTAAAATATTTTTATTCCTTTAAATTTAATATTTAAAATATTATCAATATTAGTTAATGATTTAATTGAATTTTTTAATAATTATTATTTATTGATTCTCTATTGTTTAATTTATTTATTTCTATTCAGTCATTTCTATTTATTTCTTATAAAACAACGTAAGAATACTGATTTTATTAGCCAAACCATATTTAATTGATATTGTTTTTATGTCTAAAATGCATACCAATTTTATTAATAATAGGAATGCTTCTCATTAGAATGAATTGCATTTATATAATTGGTCCGGAATAATAGCGAATCCTAGTAAAAAGTGTACATTAAGTGAATATTTTAAGGAAAAGAGAGGAACGAAAACAGAATTTTCAATGTTAACATATCGGAACGTACATATTGGTAAAAGAATTTAACTAGAAACATTTGTACGATATAAAATTAATAATAGACATGTTACGAGAATTTAAAATTTTAATTCAAGAAATATGTAGTACTTTTATTTACATCAACTATTTAAAATTTATATTACATATTTTAGAAATAATTAATACTAAAAGTATAGTAACAACAGTTAAAAACAAAAAATAAAATTGCAGTATTCTACAATAAGTTCACTAATTTAATTTAAAAATATCTATGCTTATTGGTGTTATAAAATCATTTATAATGGTGAGTGTCACATAATGTATTTATCGTTGAAAGTAAATCGTTAGAATTTTCATATGATACACAATATAATATATTATATTTAGAAAAATTGTTAGCGTTTAATTTATTTAAAATATTTTTTCATTTATTATACAGAATAAAAAATTCAAATTGAGATTAAAGCTCAATATAATAATAACATTTGTGTAGTTATTGCCTTGGGTAAAGTAAGATGTGAATAGTCAGGCAAATTTCTCTATAATATATTAAACATTGAATATTATATCACATTATAGCGATAATAATAATAACTGTTTTTGCTTTATAGTTTTGTTATTTTTAAATAATATTTGAATAACAAAAATATTAAATAAGTAGTTGACAATAAATTTATACAGTAAATTTAATCATTATTACAATTTTTTTTGTAGTTATTCGTCATTCTGAAAAGAATATTATTTAAAACAACCGAGTAAAAGTTTTTTCTAAAGCATAAATTGAGATATATTTATTTATTATAATAATGTTCGTTTTACTATTGTTTATTCTAAGTTTATGTACTACTCATAGATCGGTGTTGGGTATGTGGATAATTAAGTATGTATAAATATACGTGGAAGAATGGTTTATAATACATTTATTTTTTCATATGCAGGGGAAATCGTTCTGACAAAATCACGATGCTATGCGTTCTGTAACAGTAAGATATATTCTATTTATGTATAATATTAGATTATTTTATTTTATCTTATGGAATCATTATACTAAGTCATTACAAAGCTCATAACAAATACAAAGTTGACAAATAATATATTAATCATTTAATTTTGCACTAAAATGTAAATTTAATTCAGCCTAATGAAGGTAATTTCTGAATAAAAAATACAATACTTAAAGTACTTGAATAAGATACAATGCTTGAAAAAAAAAAAAATACTTGAAATAAAATTTTTTAAATTTACCGAGAAAAATATTATAGTAAATAAATCTATAGTTCACATATTTCGACTATGTAGTCATTAAAGATTTTTCGATTACAAAAGTTGTTTATAACTTTATATTTTAGAAATATTAAAAAAAAAAAAAAAAAAAACAACGAAGTTATATAAAGTCGTACTCTCTACATTTTTATAAACCTGAATATCACATATGTTAGCTCGCAAAACATTATTCCATTAAAACATATGTTAATATTATATGTATATATTGGTATTTCTATATATAATGTGTCATATTTAATCTAAATATTTTATAAATAAAAAAATGTTCTCACTCGCTTTGACAATGATAAAATTTGTATTAATGATTGATTCCCATTGATTAAACGATGAAATAACTAAATTGTAAGATAAGCAAAGCTTAGCTTATTTATTTTTATTATGAATTCGAATGAAGATAATAACTCGGTATATAAAAACTTAGTTTATTCCGATGAATGGCAATTTTTTGAATAAAAACTAAATATAACATGTCAATTGAAAGTAATTATGCTTTGTTGATCAGTTGATGATAAAACGCATACCAAGACTTGGTTTCTTCGTTAAAAATGATCAATTATTATTCTTAATTTATAAAATTTGAATCATCTAATACATTAAGTAAATTAGTCGAGAAGTTAATAAGGTCAAGTAAAATTCAATTATCGATAAAATTGTATATTATAATATTTAGTAAGGATAGCAATATGGGTGTATATAAATTGATTTCTATTCCATAGTATTATATTAATATTTTACAGATAATGAATATCAATTGATACTGAATGAATATTAATAATAGTAAAAACTAAATTATATGCAGTGTATTTACTTATTAAATATTTCACAAATATTACATTATTGTACGATATTGGGAATGTAACTTGAATATATCAATTAAAAAAGCAAAAGTTTTAATGATATAGCTAATAATGATTTAGCTTTAATGATATAATATATATGTTGCTAGAAAAAAAATTGATAATCAAAAGAGAATGTTATGAAAATGCATTAAAACAAAATTGCAAGTAAGAGAAATCATTTATTCTTTAACATATATCAAAGTTGTTGAAAATGAGAGGGATTTTTTTTTTTTTAAAAAGGCTTAAAAAATTACCAAAAGCAATAACGAATTTTCTAGAATATTAACATTTTTATTAATAGAATTAATAAAATTAAGGATTTTTGAAAATAATAATGAATGTCACGATTTTATAATCGAACATATTAATATATTATTTTTATGTTTATTGGTCAAAATCTATTTAATAAGTAATAAGAATAGTAAAATGTAAATGTAAATGGTATGTATGCAAATCTGATGACTTGGATCGTTCGTCTAATAAGTGATAAATAAATAGATTTTTTCTATTTTATATGTTCTTCATGCATACCACATTTAATAGAAAATATTAGTAGTAATATGATTTTTCATTGAAAATATAAACAAAAAATACAAAAGAAAAATATAAACAAATTGTGTTTTCTTAATATACGTGGGAATGTATAACTTATTAAAACTATACCTAGTACAGTTCCTTAGATAATTATGCTAATACTTGGTTTTTAAAGAATTAATGAAAAAATTTAAAAAAATAGTTTCATAATAAAGAAATCCATGAAATCATAAATAAAACCAGTAAATAGTTTTTGTTTAAAATTTAAAATAATAATTATATACATTAAACTAAGTAGTAAAAATATGAAAAGAGAAATTAAGTGAAAAAATATTAATATATAAATTTTCTCATTATCATATTCGATTCGAAATATTTTAAAGAAAAAGGCATGTGTATTTGGATAAATCGTTATTAAACTTACAATAGTTCAGATTTTAAACTTACAATTAGTAAGTTTGCAATAGTGCATAGAAGAAAATTATAATTTATATTAAATTATTCCATATCAATATTAGAGTCTCTATAATATCATTGAAAATTCGTGGATTATGGAACGTATTACATGCATTATGACTGATGTGTAAAATATAATAATTCAAATAATAAGCATAGGATTTTATAAATAATATAATATAGAATTAATGAATGAAAAGCAAGTTTGAAGAAAATGAAAAATCAATATTACAGCTTGAAAAATATTTAAAAAATTTAATATATATTGTATATATTGTATATATAATATCGTCGGATAAAATAATATATAAATAACAATTATAAATACCTAATAAACTTTGTATATTTCAATTATACCAATAATCAATATGATTTATTAAAATTAATGACAAAATTAATTGAAAAAATATATTGTTATTAAATTTAGTTTGAACTCACTATTTGTTTAATATATATTTTGTTAATATATATGTCGTTATATATATATGTTAATATATTTTTTCTTACAGTGTTTCCGAGTAATATGCTTAATTTATGCGTCCACACATGCAACAGATTATTCAGAAATGGCAAGTAAAATTATTTATAATGGTATAGGTATATCACTTCATGCATTGGTATTTTGATAATTTAAAATAATACAATAAATGTCATTTAATTATGTAAGAAAGAGAATAAAAACAAGATGTAATTATCATTTTATCTTATTTTCCAACTACGTAAATTTATAGTTGCATTGAAAATAATCAGCTGCTAAGTCTTTATGCTTCGCATATTCTTCATATGTATCTTTGTATATATAATTTGATAAATTAAATTATTTATAGCAGTGTTGACATACGAGATCGGCTTTATAATAATACATTTTTTTAATTATATCTAAACGTTTATAAATAGGTATTGAATGAAATACATAATAAATAAAATTCTTGTATGTTCGCTTTTATTTTGATAAATTAATAATTAAAGGATTATAATTTTTTCGGATAATTTCCTTAGGCTCGTACATTTTTCAATATAATTCTACTGACTTTAATAATATGTTAAAATTTCATCTATTTCATTAGATTCATCAAGATATCAAATAAAATAAGATAATGTTAGTATAGTCTGCAATAAAGTAGTTTAAAAATGTACAGGAATGAAGCTTACTAAATATGACAAAATCGAATGAGATTAATAATATTGTATGTAGTTGTTAATTGTTAAAATTAATATTCAAATATCCAATAATGAAAAAAATATTGGTTTTCGATTATAAATTATTATTATTAGATGAAATTATAAAGTTTTGATGTTAAAAAGAAATAAAATTGCAAGATAATATTGAAAAAATATATTAAAATTTGTAAGCATTAATTAATTTATTTACATTGAATTAATTTATTTATACAGGTGATAGAACTATCACTACACTTGAAGACTGCGAGAAATACTGTGATTGTAAGTTGCACATTTGTTACTAAACTATTAATGTATCAATAGAGAAAATAACTATTTCTTACAATGGTGAATATTAATTATGAAATCGTTTTTTTTTTTTTTTTTTTTTTTTTTATAATTAATAATGACGTCGATATTATCGATTAAGAAACGAACGATGTTACAGTGCAATTTATTGTCGCGGAGTCATGGAAGATAAAAAATTTCCTCGCTTAAATCTCTAATCAATGCATTTAAAATTTTTTCCGGCTTGGAATTATTCGTTCTAGCGTAAGTTTTATTGCCATGATCTGTCATGTTATTATCAAAAAGGAGAAAAAAATTGCAGCAGTGTGGAAATCGCAATACTCGATCAATTTGAATTGAAAACCATCTCTTTTTTTCAACGCTGATTTAACGAAAAGAATGTCGGAAAAATGTAGACCGGTGATTTGGTATCTGTATTCGTCCTATCAGCTCCTCTCATTTATTATCAGCAGCGACATCCATTTTTCTAAATTAAACTTTTTAACAATACTATTATTCAGAATAATATTTATTTTGTGTAGACGTGTATGTGCATGAAATCATCTTCTACGACATTCCCTTTTCATAACCATTTAATTCCACTATAATTAATGTTAAATAGTATTTATAAATGTTTAGTAATACTTAAAATATGAAATCATATTAGTTTTATGACTTTAAAGATGAAGCGTACTGATACGAATAAAAAATAATTATTCCACATACAATGCATTAAATTTATTATGTTTCATTTATTAAGTGTAAATTGCTTTTAATTATTAAGGATTAGAGGAATTTTCGTCTAAAATCGTTTATTAAATGATTATCAGATGTGTGATTAACATTTTTACATTTAATGATGGATTGTTTAACATTAGAATCTGAAATAATCGCAGTGGCCTTAATTGTCGGCTACAAATAATTTCGCGAAAATCTGTTTAATACATGTCATTGAACTTTAGATAACTTTAAATATATTTATTATCATGAGGCTTATAGTTCAAATTCAATTTCAAAGTGCAGTTAAACTTATAAAGGAAGAAAAGGAGAAATAGACATTAGAAGTTATAGATTCGAGACATTTCAGACTATATTTTGAGGAGTCAAAACTCTATTAAATTAAAAATGGAAACTCTGAGAAATCTATATGAATTAATATTCTTTTATATAGAAAATATTTAGATCTATGCCTTGAATCTATATGATAAATAAGAATATTTTATAACTATAACAAACTGCAAAACATTTCAAGTTTGATAATTAATCTGTAACAAGCTCGTGTATCTCAAAAGTGGAGGAAATATGTATACTAAATTTTAACATGATATCAAAAAATTTAACATTTCATAATAAATTTTGTTTCTACTAGTTCATAAGTCGTTTCTCTTTATATAATTATTTATTAAAATATTTTTACTTTTATACTAATTAAGTTTAACTTATAATTTACTATAATATCATGTCTTTACGACGTATATATTAATTTTTTCATTTATAGTCTTTAATTTAATAAATTCCAAAAATATTAATTTATATTTCAATTTCATTATATTTATTAAATCATTTAATTATAAGACATAAAATCTATTTTACAATTAAAAATATATTACAGTATTTTCAAGTAAAGTATGAATATTTTTATATTTTCTCTCTATTCATTTAATTTTATGTAAATTGAAAAAAAAAAAAAAAAAGGAATAAGAAGTTAATATTATTAAGCCTTTTAAATTTTAGTTATTGCAAAAATTTTACATATTTCTATTATTAAATCTCGTATTTTATTTATCTAGCTTTCCGTTATGAATATCGATCACGATGTAAATACTATTGTTATCAAGATATGGGATGTACGTAAGATAATAAAAAATTAAAAATACTGCATCATCCAATATGTATTTTAAACGTGAAAGTAAGGATTATACGAAATATAAAAATTTCAGATTTTGATTCGACGGTTCAAACAAAAAGACCACTAAAATCAAAGTCAAAGAAGCGAATTGCTGACAAATCATAAATTAATAATGTTTGGAGCACGTAAAAGAAAATACAGCATCGATGACAGTAATATTAAATAAAAATAAATTGTATTTAGAAAAACGTAAAGATTTTTAATATATATATTTTATATGATTAAAGTAATTGCCATTTCTGCTGAATTATTTATTTATTGTATAATAGTCTTAAACATACTGATTAATAAATATATAAATAAAATGTTAAATAAGATGTAGTATCTATATATTGATATATCTACATTTAGATATTAATAAGTAAGTATTTGATTTCCTTTTATAAAAAAAAAAAGAAAAAAAAAAAAAAAAGTAATCTAGTTAATTCTACATTTTTCTGCTGAGATTTGCTTAATAGATGAGTGGAAATAAACTAGTGTGAGATCATATTCTATTAAAGTGTATTTGTCAAGGTATTCTATTTTATAGAGTGAAATAACTATTTTTAGATTGAAACAGTTTTATAACTATTTTATTTCTAGTACTTAAAAATGGCGTTTGTAATTTGCGTAAATTTATTATTGTACTTATTTGTGTAAATTATACCTTTTTAATTATATCACATGTAAAAATAAAAACATTTAATATTATATTTATGCGATTCAGTAGACCAAATCATCCGTGACGAAAGTTACGTAATGTAATTCGTAACGTCATTGTAAGTGCCCAAATAAGAGTTTAGGTATATCAAATCATCAATGGCAGTGACCAAAAGTTCAATTTAATGCATTCCTAACACGGAGTTGTCGATTGGTTTTAGAATGAAAATTGATTAAATCGCAATACTTTTAATTAAACGCGATATTAAGAATTTTAAGTACAATTAGCCGTCCCATCTATACTTCCTACCGAATCGCTCTTAAGCAAACAAGTGCGAATGAGGCGAAACAATTCCAGAAAATTAATATCACATTGGCATGACAGTCTAATGGATCGTGATAATGAGAAATACGAGATTTATAATAACAGGGAGATTTATCACCGCGTTGAACGACGTGGAGCTAAGGAACAAATTAAAGGTACATCACAGACACGACAAGAATTATCGTCAATCTAGATCCATTGCTCGTCTAAATCCATCGCCTAAGCACATATGCGCTATTATTTGAAAGCGCGGGCGTAATCGATAAATATAGTTATGCTTAGATTAGGTTCATCGTGCGTTGCGTGCATGCCTATTGCGCTCAACGGTGCGCCATCTCAAGGTTTTTCTCACGTCGCGATCATTAACTATGGCGGCACTAGGATTGATCGAAGGGAGACACGCGCTCACATTCTTATGCTCTTTACACGCGAACGACTCACCCTGACCGAAATCATGCTCTGCGACGTCTCATTTAATCTGCATCTCAGGATTTTACTTTTATGCGAACGAATGCAAGTGGAACGACATAGCAGTGGCGAGGCTTTCGCGGGACGTCGCTCTCGGAAAATTAATAGAAGAGAGAGAGAGAGAGAGAGAGAGAGAGAGAGAGAGAGAGAGAGATCAAAGCCTCTGTCGTTTGACTTTTTCCTTTTTTATAAAAGATACATGCTTACTGGATCGCTATTGTTATCTTATTGGATTATTTCTTTTTAAAATTGTGTGCACATCCTGTGTAATTAATAATATCCATTCTAATGATGAATTCCCAAGTGGTTTCTTACTGGTCACTTGATCTTTTAAATCAAAGTCTCGTGTGTTCATTAAGATATTAACAGTTATTTATAGGGATGAGCATTAAACAATTTAAAATGACAAATGACGTTTCGACAACAATGAACACGACAGTGAAGTCATACGCAGTATTTATACACACGCATGCACGCACACTCGAACATATTACAAATTATGAGCTAGCTAATTATACAGATAGTATCGGCTAAAATTATATTTACAAAAAATAAAATGTAGAAAATTTATACTAAATATTATAAAAAACTGTTTATTTCATAGATAGAAATTAATTTATAAATTGACCTTTCAATTTCTTATTGACTCATACTTTTACTAATGAAACGCCAGCTATTTATCAATGATCTCTTATTTTAAATATTACTTTTATTTTATGTAAAAATACGATCGTTATAGACTGAACTATATTTAATTGTTAATTTATTTAAAATCATAATATTAAGACAATTTGAAAAATCATTGAAACGCATCACGCACTCATTTTTCGACTATTCACATAACTTTTTACTCGGTATTTGTATTTAAATTAAAAAAAATTTTTAAAAAATTTTATTAACTTTAAATACTAATTTTGTTATTGAAATTCATAAAAAATATCTTCAATGAATTGAATTTAACGAAAGTCATCTTACAATTTTTGTACAATATAAATTCTATATATTTAAATTGAAAACTTGAAGTTATTTATAATCATAATAATTAAATTAATGTACAAGTAAATAAATAAATACAATAATATAATTTGGACTTAATTATGGCATTTATTTAAATTTACATGTAATATTTAAGTTTTACACGTAAATTTGAATAATTTTTAATAAAAACTCTCTAAACTTTCCAGAGTGATGTTTTCTTTTTATCGCCACTTTTTTTTTTTACTGTCCAGTAGAGCAGAATAATTTCATTTTAAAAATTGAAAAAACTCAAATCGCAAAACTGATATATAAGCGTTTAACTGGCTACAGCACCGGAAACAACTAAGTGCAGTCGTCGTAGCCTTATCCAGTAAAGGCGCCTATTCATTTTTATAAAAATGTACATTTCCTTACACACACACATATATATATATCCATATGTGACCAAAAGATAAGTAGGTATTCGTTGGGAATACCGGGAATACCAGCAAGCGCATCGTTATAAATCTGCACTTCACACGGTGCTCGATAGAATCGAATTTCCACCCTATATATTCATACACTTCAATATACCTCGATTCTATCTCCCTTAAATTCTGTCGAGCATATGAAAAAAGATTCTATTTAGCTTTACAAGCCTATTTTAGTACAATAAATTAGAAAGAAATGTTATCAATACCCAGTATCATTTATCCTAATGTTTCGTAACCGATGCAGAACACGTTATAGAATAAAAATGCAGTTTCTGATTAAGAATGAAACATGAGTCAAATATTGGTCTAATAGGTAAAATGAAAGGTAATATCGTTTTCTTCAATCACTTACTTACGCTTGTTATGATTCCATTCTTAACTTGTAGAGATAATGAAATATTAATCTTCTTATAAATCGTTGATAGTGAGTATATTTTTAGTGTCATTTTTCATTGAAACGCGAGTACGTTATTTACAAATTTTATCAATGTTAAGGTTGTATTAAAATTTATAATCAGATCTATCTTTTTATTATAAAAGTAATCGTTGCCGAACAACAAGCAAATGCAATAAATAAAATTTTTAATTTTCATACATTATATATATATATATATATATATATATGTTTTTTAAATATTTGATAAAACTTCAAGAATTAATAAACTTACATAAAAAGAAGTATCTTATCTATCGATTAAACTATTGAAAAATCTAACATATATATGGATTTAACAGTATATATAGTAAATTATTATGCATATTTGCAATAAAGTTCGATAAAGTTTTATAAATTTATTTAGTTCATTATTTAAAATAAAATTAATTATAATTGGCGAATAAAAAGAAAAATTATATTTATCTTAACGGCATTATTAATATATTGAAAACATAAATTGATGCGATAAATTTGAAGCTACAAGTACGGTTTCATATTTTTTCTTCTTTTACCCATTTTAGTAATGAATTATACTTTAATAAAATCAATAAATTTCTAATGTATAAATGTGGAAGATCATTTAAAATTCCATTTTGAAACACAATTGTAGAAGTAGAAGAGAATTATTTTGTTTATTAATTATCAAAAGATTTATTTATCTATGAGAAAAACGATGTCCCTTCTAATTTTCCCACGAAAAATATTATAAGTAATAAAACGATTTGTTGTTTTAAGTATCTACAATATTTTTCTTCAATATGATGATTTCAATATGATGATTCAATATGATTCAATTTCTTCAACATTAGACATGATGAATAAACAATGTCTAAAGACTATTTCGATTGAAAATTTAATATTAAAATTTTTTCACAGGTCCTATTCTCGATAAACTTTACATGTAAGTTATATTTCTATGATTACATATTCATTACTATAAATTCATATACATTTGATATTGAACAATTTAACTAATAATATAAAATTTGAATAAATCTGTTCCTATTCTTCAAATTATGATGAAAGAATATCATCACTAAACATGTAATTAATTTTATTTTATATATTATATTTTGAACATTGTTAAATTTTGTTCATTTGTTTAATTCATTAAAATAAAAGAAAAATGTTTTTCCCTTTTTTTCATGAATACTTGTTACCTTAATAAATATAATACCGTGTTACAATGTTTTTCTAATTATTGCTTCATATTAAATTTTATTTTGTTAGTATAAATCATTATCTATATATCTTTTATGTGAAACGATACCGACAATTTATCAGGCTATTTCTTAAAATTCGTTGATATTTATCATTTTGCAAAAATTTAATGGCTAATTCAAAAAAAAAAAAAAAAAGACGTTTATCAAGTTTATTTTATAACGATTGAAAATATTTTATACTTATAATAAGGTTTACTTCATTTCAATTATTGTATATGCAAAAGTGATCGGATAATTATAATGCTCCTTTTTATTCAGCTTTCTATGTATTATAAATTTTTGTGAGTCTTGGGAAATTATAGATCATATTTGTACATATCTATGGAAAAAATTATTTTCTAACGTTAATAGAACATAAAATAGAAAAAATATATATATATTTTCATAAAAGTTTATAAAAAAAAATTTATAAAATTTTATAAATACTATTTTTAAATAATTAATAGAAAATTGTCATGCGAAACTATTGCTATTAGGTAATTGAAATTTTAACCTTTATGTGGTTTTGTGGTTAATTTGTACTAGTTTATTAAATAAACTTTATAAAAATTATTCACTATCTGAGCTTGTTTTTATAATCTTAAATATCGATGATATAATCTCAC